GCAATTTCACATAGGAAACGGACTTGACACCGGCTATCCATTGATGTCGACCACAGGGCCGCTTTATACACCCTGTAACTATCAAATACGGAAAGATTAAAAGCCTAAGCCATGTTAACACCGCAAGGATGGTGTTAAAGATAGTGTTACTTTAGGTCTCTCTGACATGTATAAATTAGTTTTCTAAGAGATACATTGATTTGATTCATTAATACGTGTTATCTGATGGTCGGCATCTCATTAATCATCCGTCCTATTGGGTTTAGACATGATTTAAATACGTCGCCAGGTTTTACGGATTACGTCCGACCAGTTGCCTCAAAGGATCATCAGCGATTTGCAATTGTTGCACGTTTCATCAGAGTTCGTCGAAATGGTGTAGCCAGGCAATGAGACGAAAATAAAAATCTAAAACAGTAAAGTCCAAGGTGCGACAAGTGGTTGCAGAAAAAACCTTCGACATGGAACCGAAAACGATAAAAATTCCGATGTGCGCGTCGATGAGTTCCTATACCATTAAAACTATGGTAAACTAGATCATCGTAAACCAATTTGTAGTCGAATAAAAATACTACAAGGGACTTATAGGGATCGATTGGACTAATACGGCGACCATGTCGCCGTTCACAGGAAGCTCGAGATGATCGATGTGGAGAGCTGATCGTTATGAGGTTTTGCTTAAAAGGCAGTGCTGTTTATGTGTGGGAGCTAAAAAACACTTTGGTTTACTGGAAACTCAATCAAAGGAAAATCTAGAGGTTGATCAAAAGTTTAAAAACAGCAAAACAAATTTAATTTTATCTTCTTGATTAGGTCGATAGTCGGAAATGTTCATCTGCACATCAGGATTTCTATTGCAGTTTTAATTGCAGCATAATTTGTACAGCTACTTGCCTTCAACTTAACACAATCTGCGATGAAATTTAAAGTTGAACTATAAAAAACCCTGCAAATTTGCCTTCATATTCTAATATTTATTTATATTTGATTGCAGGTAAGTGGACTGTTTTTGGCGGTGCTGGAACAATGCTGGGTGAGTCCAATATTCCGAATTTTGAAATATTTTTACACTAAAGAAGGCGACTTGAGCCTTCAAGTCATTACAATTTCAAGGAATTAATTTATGTTTTCTCGTTCTGTATGGACGTTTGCCGCAAAAAGTTGTTGAATCAAGAAAGTGAAGAATGAAAAGTTGAATCTTTTTTCTCTTTGAATCTTTTTGAAAATATATTTGAATTGGGACTTAGGCTTCTGAAAATTTCGTTTTTCGGTTTAGCATCAATACGAAAAATAATTGAATTTTGTGGACTTTTTTAAATGTGAGGATTGAGAAAAAACATTTCATATCTTGAACCTCAAATTTAAGGCAACACGCGGCTATTTTCCTTCCAGCTCTTTAATTTCTCGGTTATTTTCCACTCTTTTTTAGTCTCAAATTAAACATAGCTAATCTTTCGTGTAGGATCCAGTGCAAATGGTATCTAACATACGTATAAGTTGTTTAAAAATTAGAAGAAAGTCTTTCAAATTTAAGATTTGACTCTTTATATGTTAATTAAAGTCGGTAGAAAATATACCGTTTACAACAAAATAAATATTCTTTACAGCGGAATAATCCAATGCGCCATTGCTTTCGTGCTTTAAAAATAATTTATTAATCACAATTTCTTATCTGTTTTCGATTTAAAAACCACTATTAGATTGAATTTTTATGCAAAATCCGATATTTGCAACAATAATTAATAACGTGCGATAAGAAATTCGAGGTAAGCAAATCCTGATGAATTAAGTTGATTAATCAATCAAAATTTGTTTAGTTGATTATGGATGTGCATTTTTTGTTAATCGGGTACTTTATTTTCTTGCTTCACAAATATCGCGTTTAAAAATGATTTAAGATTCTTGTACTTCATTTAGCTTTAAATAGTTTTACAATATGCGGTTATGAAGTTGGTAATCTTGCGTTTTAAAGCTTCTTGAATCTTTCTCCTCAAAACTTCTTCTCTTGTAACTTTCATTCACTTACTACTTATATACGTTTATTTACTGTCTTTACCATTGATGCTTTTTTAGTTTTCATTTTCATTTCGTGTTCTGCTTTTATAAAGTTTTATTGGACTGCAAAGTTCTATTTCATTTAACGTTTTGTTGCTTACCAAAAGCAAGGAAACCTTAAAAAATTAACTTTTTTTAAGTACTACTAATACTAAGTAAAAACTTAATAGATGAAAAACTGGAATATTGTCAGTGTGCATGTTAACTTCAATTATAGCAATAGCCAATAGTTACTTTGCGTGAAAAATTTCGCACAAAACGAAGGAAAAACATCTAAAATAATGGGCAACTTTATAAGCAGCTACAAGCAAAGGTTTTTATAGGCATGTAAAAATAACGTCAACGAAAAGATATGGCAAACTTTTGGTTTGTTTCTTGTTTTCCGTTTATTCATTGAAAGTACCATAAAAAATTATTTATAAGACGAACCTTTAAAAGTGCTCAAAGTCACATTAAATTAAATATTCTAGCTTAATATATGCTGCCCGCATCAATGAGATCGTTTATTTCGGCTTTAAATACAAATTATACCAGATTTTCACTTATTCCTCGATTAACGCAGTAATTAAATTTTTGGCTTAAACTGAGTGGTCAAAGGCAAACATGTAAAAAAGGCGAACAACAGCAGGAACCTTCCTAATGTACCTTCCTATCACAGCTTTTGTCCAATTTTCTAGCCTTTATTAACAATAAAACTTATTTTCATTGCGACCAAATTAATAGTTGTTTAATAGTTCCTGAAATTAGAACTTGCTTATCAATGAAGAAGAACTGCAGGAATATTAAAGAGTGTGACAGAGTTTGTCGGTGAAAGTAAAATTTTTAGACCTTTAGAGAATCAGCTGGACTTCATTCAAAAGTTTATAAATTTCGCAAACTAAAGCCCTGAAAGTAAAAGATTCCAATAAAGTTCTGTGATGACGCAATAAAATGTTGTTTAATTAATTCTACTTTAGTGTTTGTTTTGTTACGCAATTTTCAACTTCTTCGTTTCAAATTATATCACTTTTCCATTTAATACGTTTTGAAACCTGTAATTTTTAGAAAATAGAAGAGAAAATAGAGAATGCTGTCGGTTTGCACGTTCAGTTCAATAAAATGAAAATTACTTGGTTATTGTGCTTGCAAAATTTCGTATAAAAAGAAAAATTATATTAGAAATAAGATCAAGAACAACATTTTCAACAGCTTCAAACAAATGTCTGTGTAGAGGCCAACCAAATAACATTTCTGCCAAACTTTTGGAAAGTTTGTCCATCAAATTATATACAGAGCGCATCTGGAGACTGGAGAAATTATTCTAATTTGATACTGACTGTCCGCATCAATGTGTTCGATTATTGCGGCCTCAGGCACATAGATTATCTGCGCCAATCTTGCAAAAATAATCGGTTGTTTCAACGACAGGAATTTAAAACATAATTTGGTTTATTATTCGATTCGATTCGACGCAGTTACTTGATTTTTTCTTTGATTTCTTGAGTTTTCAAACATTTAAATCCTACATTCCTAAAGTTTCCATATTATTCATTTAAATTAGGAAGACTGAGTGGTAAATGACAATGATGTAATAAAGGTGAAGAAGATTATTTATTAGGCAAAGTAGAACCCGAGCAGAATGCGAATAATGGCGATGAAAGTCACTAATTATTCCTATCTATTGCGAGCTTTTATCCAATTTCCCAGCTTTTATTAATACTGAAATTAGAACAATTTATTTCTATTGAAACTAAATTAATTTAGTTTCAATTTTAAGATTGGCTTCATATTTGAAAAAATTAGGACGTGTTATTGCAATTTTTCTTCGATCACTTGCATTTAATAAAAAATATTGCCGGATGACCGAGAATGTGCTCCCTGTTGTAACAGCGTTTTGGTAGCTTGAATTTTCAGGGCTATCATTAAATCCTCAAAAAGATCAGCTAAACTTTCATGATCTGACTGACCTCTAGTTGGGCAAAGGCTGCGTTTCTCCTACACTCACAAGCACTTAGTGTGTTTAATGAAAATCACTATCGTTAATATGAAAAAACGAATCTATCAACTCTAATTGAGTACAACAAGCAGGTATCACACGGTGCCAAAATGGATGTCTTTCCCGATCGAAAATGAGGCTGACCTGCGAGATGACCCGCATGACACAATGATTGATACACAAAACCAATCTTGACACGTCTTTAAAAATGTATTCCGTGTTAGGCCGAGCTGTCTAATTCATCTAAATGATAATGTTATATGTTCTTTCGGGGCCGCTAATGTGTCTTAACAATGTGGAAAGGCGTTTGACACGAGACAACGACGATACGAAACCGAGCGTCCAATTGTGTCAAGATAGTCGACCAAATTGTCTACCAGAAAGTATATTCGGCTCGATTAATTTTACGAAAAAGGGTTGGTCTGGGTTATTTATCATTTGAGCATCCAATAACTCAGCTCTTGCATTGTTTTCCACCCAAACAAACTGTTCGCTATTCTAATTGAGATAATTCGAAGCTATTCTGTAAATTAAAGCATCTATCTCTACCACAACAAACTGAAGCTGATAGTGTCTCATCTCATGTAACAACCTAGACCTTTTTTCCTAAATATGTGTCTATATTGTAATCAGTGCTGTGAGGGAAATGTTCTTGAATGAAGCGTCCAGAGCTGATGTCCTGAGCTGAGGTTGTGTAGGTTTCTGCTCGACTGTTCTGTTACCCATAAAAACACTTTCTTCATTGAGGTTCCATTTGGGTCCTACTGTTCTACTCTTTCAATAGTTCTATATGTTCAATCAGCTCCAGAAGTTTTTTGAACGGGCTAAGCATGAATTGATTTGGTAGGACTTCATTATTTATAGAGTTGTTCTATCTTCGTTGTTCTATCATCTGCTCGTGGGCTTATTGATACTAAGACCCCAATTCTCCTTGTTTGTTGCCTACTAATTTCTCGCAATTCTTTCTTACGTACTGGATGTCTAGGATCTGCATGCGGCTTTGCTTTAGGAAGCTGCTGTGCCTCCTCCCAGCACGTCGTAAGTTTTTCCGAAATCCATCTGTTGGTTGTAGGTTCATCCCCGGTCATGTTGATAGTATGTCTACTTCTGTAGGCTGTTGTCCCCATTTTCTGGTCACAGTTGTTATTGCCGCTGGGCTCGCTTGGAAAGTGTTGGTGAGAGTATCTAGGATGAAAATTAATCTTTTCCCAGCTCTTTTCTCCTTTTTGCTCTACCACCAGCACCTCCCCTTGTTGGGGCCATTTTACAACGCCGAAAGTGTCTAGAACATATGTTGTAAATTGGCGCCATACCAACAGGTATATGATCCATATTGGCCAGGAATGTACCATTCGGTGTCGAACTTAACAGCGACTACTGTAATTAAGCCATTGCGGTCGGCGATCAGGTTACAAAGGCTTAAATCGCCATTCTTTAGCGCTCATCACATCTGTCAAACATCTATTGATTTTCAAGTTGGAATTTCACGTATCTAATTGTACCAAATCAGCGGTCATTGTTTAATTATAGACCGGGACATACCGAACTTATGGAGCGTTAATTATTCGAGACGTTGATGTGTCGATCAGAAACAATGGGGCCTCGCTTGTGGCAGTGCCCCAAAATACCCGGCTAGTTTGAGAATGATGTGCATAAAACTCTAATGAAAAACTGCCTTCTTTTCATAAAGTGATTGGGGATTTTTTCTATTAAAATCCATCCCGAGGTGATCTCTCTAACCGAGGCAGTTTTTGCTGATTGGGAATGTATTTATCTAGCGGTGCTTATGCAGATTATGCTGAAAGTTCAACACTTTGCACTTTGCTAGACTGATTTGAAATAATTAATATACATATAAATGCATTTGCGTGATTTTATTGACCGGCAAACAAGTTACGGACTGTTGAAATATTCTATATATGGTTATTTCATCACCTTTCAAATGGTTTTCTTATTTGTGAGGTCTGGGAGAGTTTTCTTGTTTATCCACCTTAGTTTGGTCGATATTTATCGGTTTTATTTGCATTTCAACAAAAACTCGTTTTGTCAACGTTTTTTCCTCCTAAACTGGCCTAGCAGCTTTAAGTTCATTTCTGTTTTCATTTCATCGATTAATCTGTCTGATATAACTGTGCTGCTTCTCTTCGACATTCGGCAATGTTATCGTTTCAGTTTCTAAGTTTTTTAAGTTCAGTACAAATGATTTAATATTCTTGTTTCATATTAACCTTTAAATAGCTTAGGAACTGTGTCTATGCAATGTTTAATCCAACTTTTGTGAAGCTTCTTAAATCTTTCTGTCTTGGACCTTTTATTTACTTAGTTCTAGTTGCAAACCTCGATTTGCTGAATTTACCAATTATGCTTCTTCAGTTTCATTGAGCAATTTTGTGTATTTGCATTTGTAAAGTTTGGTTGACCTTAGATTTTCTCAACTTGACTAAAAAGTTCCACTTCACTAGAGTTTTTCTGTTCAGTGCCAATTATTTTCGGTTTCTGTTTTTGCCAAATACATTTGTCTGTTTTCTTTGGACTGTTCATCCAAATCAGAATTTTTTGGTGTGTTTGGTAAGTTTTGAGCATTTGTAGAGTGAACCGTCTTCTGAAAACTGTGAAATTCTTGACCTGTTCAGTTGGCGAGAAACGCACAATTTGCGCCCAATACTTAATCTGCTGGTAAAAATCGGAATTTAGCGGTATGTTCATTGAAATATAGGAGTTTGTAGAGTTAACTGCTTGCCAGTTATTGCGAAAGTTTCCAGTTCGTACTTGTTCTAGTTGTGGACTTATGGGGTTTTAAAGCAGAAGGCGCAGTTGGCTGGAAATACGTATTTCGAGCCCAAACTTTACTTGGCTAACAAAAATTAGATTTTTTTGTGATTTTTGCGTTAATTTCAGAGTTTTTAGAGCAAATGAGGATCTAAGGATTATGAAAGATCCAAGTTGCTGCTTGCGCTATTGGGAAAGTTCTAAATTTTTAAATCAGAGAGCGCATCTGTAAGGAAGTTGGACATTTTTTGAACCGCGGCTTAGTTTGGTCGATATGTTTTTTCATTCACATGTTTAAAAAAAGTAGTTTTTTTCGTTTAGTTTGCTTATAAATATGTTTTTGCAGTTGGATAATCTGACTGAAGTGTGAAGTTGGTACTGCCCCAGTTGGGATCATGAGGCTTTAAAGCAGAGACCGCTATTGGCTTGGAGAAACATCCATTTCCAGCCAAAACTTTACTCGGCTACAAAAATTCGGGATTTGGTGGGATTGTAATACAAATTCCAGGTTTTGTAGCGCGAATTCTCATGTAAATATCGGGAAAGTTTCAAGTTGATTTCAGCCCTAGTTGGCAACTTATGAAATTTTAAACCCGATGGCACAGCTGGCAGGCATCACCCATTTCGATCCCAATTTTTACTCGTCTGACAAAAATCGAGGATTTTAGGCGATTTTCGTGCCAAATTCAGAGTTTATAGGGCGAACTGTCTTAAGTACTGAGAAAGTTTCAAGTTGCGACTTGCTCCCGTTATGGAGTTATTAACTTTTAACGCAGAGGGCGCAGTTGGCTGGAAACCCATTCCGACTCCAACAATTACTCGGCTGGCAAAAATCAGGATACTGAGGGATTTTGAAGCAAAATTTTAGAGGTTCCATAGTGAATTGTCTTCTAAAGACTGCGAAAGTTTCATGGTTTCACATATTCTGCGAGCAGTTTCACTAATTCTCTTTTCTAGGGAAGACGTATTTCAGGGGTTGGATTTTCTTAGTTATTAATTCTCTTTGCAAATATTCAAATCTATGTCTTAATACTTTCGTCGATTACGGCAATTTGAAATGTTCTCTGTTTCTCTTCTAAATGAAAAAAAATTACCCAAAACTCTCTTTTGGATGTGAACCAGGAATAGTTTTCGATGGAAATAAGTCATAACTTCCTTTCATTCGTGTAGAGAAAAATAGTATAAAAAATATAAAAAAATACAGGATATATGAGTCGCGTACTTGTAAAGAGAAAATACGGGCGATGAAATTGAATAGAATCAATTTGCCGTAAAGTAGTACAGACAAAGAACAACGAAGAAAGGAAAAGTTGTTTAAAAATATTCAAGGTGCCGCCAGTTGCAGAAAATATGAAGTTTTGATTAAAATTGACGTACTGTAAAAACAAAACGCGAATGACAAAAATTCAAATGCTCAAAATTGATAAAAGCAGTTAAATTTTGAGAAGCAGCAGCTATTTAAACGAAGAATAAAAATACAAAAAAAGAATAATTAAACACGAAAAATCGAACTCTTCGGTCGCTGCAAGAAAGAAGTAGGAAAACTTTGGTTAACGAATGACAGAGAGATAACCGAAATCTGGATATAGATAAATTAACAGCAATGTAAATTAATAACAAGGAAAGTTGAATATTAGAGCGAAACAATCATACAAATTTTTGCTCTAACAATACTTATTTTATTTAAAGTTTTAAAGAAAGATTTCTCCTTGATGCGTATATTTAGCGATATTACCCAAAAAAAATAATAGCAAGAATTTCTGATAAACAGTCCGAGAAATGAAGCAAGGGAGACAAGAACGATAAAGACAAAGTTAAGCTAATGATCAGATGAGTGAGTAATATCTACAACAAGTTTTACAACTTTTTTTAACGTGAATTATTCGTTGAAAAAATGCAGTGTATACACTCGTAAACGACAAACATATCAATGCATCAGATAATAGGGACAGAAAATGCCTAGCAAAGCTGTAAAAAACCGTCTCCTAAAATATATATTACCCACCACAATTAAAATAAAAAGAAAAAAACATTAAAATTACAATGAATTCAGAGGGGTTGAAAAAGCGCAGGGAAAGAGAGAGACGAAGAAATGAAATAAAGCTTCAAACTATTGAGTAACAACAACCCCAAGTGAAATTAAAGGATATTTAATAAATAATAATTATTTTGGAATAGAGACTAATCGGCATATACCTAACAGCTAAAACAAGGTTAACAAAGGAAATTAAATTAAATTAGCGCAAGTATTAACGTTGCTTAATAACCTGAACTGAAAAATAATCTACTTAAATATGATAAACAACACTAAACTCAAAGAAACCCAAATATTTGTACGGAAAACTGTCAAGCTTGACCAAATAATGCGAATGAACACATTTTTGCCTGATTAAATACTATTACGCAAGTATTATTATGTCGCTTTAAACCGTTTTTAACAATGTTAAGAATTAGGCTTCCTCAAAAAATCACTCTGTATAGAGCGTACAGTCTTTTGTTTAAACGCTTTTCCACGTTTGCAGAGAATGTATATAAAATAGTGAAGACCACCGTATAAATCGTAACATAACGGGTGAGTGAAGGTTATTAATTTTATTGAAGAATAAACCATAGATTCCAACTTGTTATTTCAATACGAAACACAGTCCCTTGGCGGATCTTCATTATATAATCAACAATCCACATGTATCCGTCTAATTGTATTCGTTTCACGAAAGTAATGGAAAAAAAAGAAGACACGCAGATGAGTTTAGTAATTCACACAAGTTACGGTTTACGTTCACTTTTAGATTCAATTACCTGCCATCTCCATTCACTTAATTTTAATTGCGATTTAAGTTGCGCTAGGGATTCGTAAAAATGCGTCATTGTTGATGGTCGAATGATTAATTAATCCGAGGTTAGTTAAACAGCGATTAAAGTTCCTTCTTTACGTTTAATTACTGCACTGATATTTAGAATTATTGCGTGTGTTGCCCTGAAGATGTTGTGCTCGTGATTGTACGAATTGCACTCAGTTTCAAAATGATTTTTTAATAGAAAATGTTTGCCGAAACAAGTGTCCAATAGTCGAAGTTATTGGCTTTCTATAGGCAATAGGAAAACAACCGGCAGTTCCTTTCACATTGAGGATCGTGATGGCTTATTATCGAAATGCGAAACTGAAGAGATCTTTAGAACCAGATTTACTTTAAAATTGAAATAACACGACTTGCCTTGAAACAGTAAGAAAATTGACATTCCCGATCCGGATTTTTATGCGACTGAATGTCAACAGGAGGCCACTCTCGTAACGGCGATCCGGAGGTGGTTTGCTTCTATTTTTCTCTGCTGGTTCAGCTGGTTGCATTTGTGTTGCAAAAATCTCCGTTCGTTCTGCATATTAATAAAAATTGCGATTAATACTGCCCATCAGATCAGTAGTAAACAGTAGCGAAGCGATTTAGAGATGGAGCGTAAGTCAATCAAAAAAGATGTCCAGGCCTGTTATTATGGCGATGCCGCCGGTAACGATTTGGAGCAAAACCAGTGGCAAATTGTAATTGAAACAACGGAAAATTCAGCGATTCTCGGGTATGCGGAGGAATGTCCATTTTCAGACCGTGAGCGGCTCGAATTAGATTGCATGTCCGAAAAATCTCCTATTCAGCCATCAACCTATCTACTACAGTTTGTGCCACTAAACCGATGCTGGTCGTAATATTATCCTTAATTAGCTGCAAGATGTTGTATATACCCTACGTGTCACATAGTAGCCAATAAAATTTTATATCGCATAATGAGAATAGAATCTGCCGCCTATAGAGAACGGCGGCTTGTACACATCAAAGCAGTAGCACCGCAATGAAATTGATAATTTTCCAGATTACCAGTTATAAATTCTCGACCCTTTTTGTTAGATGGAAGTCTATTGGTTTTATTGCTCGCTATATATATATGGATATAAAGTGTCTCTAAATTGAGCTCATTCCTTATGTTGGTGGCCCTTACATACTTAGGACGTTTATATGTAAGTTTTAGGAAAATGTTGAATTTCCAAACATGAGTCAATTCAGTTCATTATAAAGATAGGAAAAGCTAAGCTGTAGACCCAGATTTACGTCAACGAGTTTTTTAGACCCAGTGAGTTTGTACACCTAGAAGGGTAGTTAACTACGGAGCATGTTAAAAAATATATTGTATTTACATTTCAATAACTTTTCTGTGAATATAACGTGTTTTTGAAAAAGAAGACGGCAATAAACCAAAACCCTGTCTTCTAAGAGCTTTTGTTTTTTTTTTCAAACATTCAGTTCATGCAAACAACATGTTAGAAGATCATATAGAAAATTAAGCACTTCTTTCAAGAATTTGTTGTACAGACGAAATTAGATGTTTTGCTTATATGGGTTCATTGTGTAGTATTTCTGTAAAGTATTCACACTTTTATTTTTATTCTTATCAATTATTGTCGATTTTTTCGCTTGAGAGCGGTCATGTAAAATTCTGTGTTGAAGACGGTGGAGGTATGAAGGGAGATACTGAAGATTACGGAAACTCGTAGCGACGAGATGAGACATTTTTTGTGAACCCACTTCTTACATTTGCTACACTACAGACACTAAATCCCAAGTAACTCTGGAACTGTTGGTGCTAGTTTGAAGACAAAAAAGTTTTTTCTGCTACATGGTTTGATCACTGTTCTTGTCACTTATTTGCTCTTTTTTTCTTTTTGTATCCACTTCATTTTGAGCAATACGTATTTTGTTTCGTTCAGTTTGACTTTAGATTCGGTAAAATTTGCTCTTCATTTACCAATTGTTTTTCTGGTGTGTCTTTGGGAATAGCGCTTGGCTTTTTTTACTTTTTATTATCATTTTATGCACCACCATGAGAGGAGGGGCAATTATTTTGCAGCAAATTAAAATATTGTTTATGCACGTTCTTAGCATCTAAACTAATTCTTTGCCAGTGCATAGACGCTGAAGAATATCATTAAACATTGTATTCTACTAGGGTACAATTGAAGCACGTTACAACTCTGTCGGTCCCTAATGTTATATTTAAACTAGCAGGTAACTTTAAATATTTTGCAAGTTAATAAACTATGGTGGAATTTAATATTAAACTAGTAATGAGATTAATTATATTTGTACGTTCAGTAGCTCAAAAGCATCTTAAATGGTTCAGGAAAACATACTCATGTAGTGATTTCACAATGACTTGGAAACAAATGTCGGCTTTTGCATTTTACTATTTATCTATCTATCTATAATCTTGGCAAAACTGTTGAAAAGAACGGAAACTTAAATTTGAAAACATTTCATTAAAAACCGAAAAAAAAAATTTCTAAACGGCCACTCACTTTGCTTTTTTAATTAGCAGCATTTATTTGAAGTTTAAACGTATAAATTCCGTATTTTTGCAAAAATTTTACATCTCAAGATTAAATTTGAAAGCTTTCACTAGTAAGATCACCGGACTTTGCTTTTCCTTCAGAGTCCCTCATTGAATTGTCTGTCTGATATTTACAAGCCACTGTATTGCCTTAACAATGTCTAAAGAGCTGATGAAAGTATCCAGAACAAGGCAAAATTACTGACAAAAACTTATTGAATGAATAACTTAAAATTCATCAAATTTCCTTGCAACTACATAGTTTGCTTCTCTATGAAGCGGGAAACTTTAAATTGGTTTAAGGGCATCAGAGATTCTGAGACAATTAAGAAACATGTAGATAATGGATATAAAAATTTTAAAAATCATAATAATTTGATAGAAATTGAAGAAACTTGAATTGAAGCTGCCGTGAAAATCTTGCTAAGTGCTAAGATATCGTGTTGTTCAATGTTTCAAACCATAAGTAGAGTTATTAGCAAACTGTTGATACAGAACAGAACAACCAAACAATTTCCAAATGGTTATCACTTAAAGTTTAATTTTCGCAAAAATGCCCTTAAAAGTCGTACAATTGTAAAAACTTTCAAGTGCAACAATGAAACAAACTGCGTTCTTTGCGCGCAGTTTTTTGAAAGTTCTGGATATACCAAAGTAGCTTCAGAAGCAAATTTTCTCATAAATCACTTTGCGCAAAGTTTGCAAATGTATCAACTCCGATATAAGTTGTATAAAAAATAGTAAAAAAGTTTGAAAAAACCCATTAAAAATGGAAACATAGAACTTTTCATTTACCAGATGGTTCGTCACATTGGCTGGAAAAGCTTCCTTTGATGCACAAAATTTGGTTGCAACAAGTATTGCAAATAACTTTTCTTGAGACATCCATATTTAATTGAAACTCTTAAAAATCAATCTCAATCTCAATATTTTCGATTAGATCAATATCTTGATACACTATTCTTCTCCCCTTTAAAAACAAAAAAAAAATCAATTAAAACTATCTCAGCTTCAGCAACAGAACAAAGAAACACATTAATTTCAACTTGCATAAAGAAGATACCAGAATTGTAGAGGAAGGAAGCAACTCTATTATATACAAAAAAGACCATTTGAAACACGGGGACTTATATGAAACTGTGGTCACTTACTATCGTCAGGTAAAAATTATTCTGGAGTTGGTAGAGCCAAAGATATTGAAAAGTGAGATAATAGAAGATGTAGAACTAATTGGGAAGAAAATGCAGACTAATCTGATGAAGTATCTGTCCAGCGTTTGAAAGTTATCAGTCAGAACAATTTTTATTCAATAATGCATTTTCTAAAAATTTATGAATGTAAGATCAGATGAATTTCGCGTCCACTCAAAGGCACCAGATTAGAGTGCAATGCAGACATTGACTGTGTTGATTTGACGATTGGAAAACATATATTCCTATTACTAGAATTTATTACTTTTGATTGCAAAATTCAATAACAGCTCTTATATTTACACTACAAATTGAAAGCAATGATCCAGGCCGAAGATAACGTTATTTCTGGAATTGAAAGTTATTTGCTGTTTGATATAGAATTTTGAATGTGAATGTTTATATGGTATGTGCAGAAAACAGCCAGTAAATCTTGCATTAGAATGCTGCAAGTACCTCGGAAGCAAAATTGGTCACATGTGGCGATATTAACCATCTTCAGTCTAGCATAGATGTGTGAAGACCGCTCATCATACGAATCCATATCAGAAGCTGAAACTAACAAGATTGTTTAACTTTCTCAAAACAACCCAGATAAGGTGCATAAGCGAACAGTTACAATAAAATTATAGTGGCAGCAAAGATCAGAGCTAGAATTAGAAGCATGTATTATGCCTATACAGGCGCTCCAATCTAAGAGGGTGAACAAAGTTTCCTTGAATTCCTAGTGGAAAACTTGCTGATGCCACTAAATTAATAGCAAATTGTTAGGCATGAACCGGTAGACTTGGAAAAATCTGTGGCGAAATTGCAAAATAATGGGAAAATCAACCCGATGAAGGTAATTTTGGTAATGGCCATTGAGGAACAAGTAGCGCAAGTGGTAGTTGAATCGTCCAGCCTCTCTATTTTTGCCGGAGGCTGACGATGTGTGCTAAATTCATCCAACTAAGGGCAATTTTTCGTTCAACAATGTCTCTGTGAAGAACGTGGTCTTAATTCCATTGAACGGGAGAGGAGAGGTGGACGTAGAGGAGACGTGGATTCTCTACTCTAGTGCATGCCAACTTAGAACATCGAACGTGATATATATTGACCCGAAATAATGAAACCTTGATCCCCCTGATATGGAAGTGATATAGAAGTCATATAAAAATTGCATCAGATGCTTGGTTTTCAAAACTTTCATATATGGAATCGCGACTCACATCCATTTCTGGCACACAATGTTTTCTCGAAATATAACGATCCGTGCCGTTGCCTAAATAATTCCGAATTTGATAAATATTGCATATCTTGTGGTTATAAATTTGCAGTCAGCCTGATTTAAATAGTTTAATAATGCAATGTCTTCCTTGAACAATTGCACTGATAACAGACCGAGGAAAGAAGTGTCTGCTGAGATCAACCAACAAAAAAATTACCCAAATAAAACAGGTTGCTGATAAAAGATAAGATACTATAAGTTCTTATCAGTGGCTAAATTTATAAACTTAATTCTCTGCTTTGAACAATAATAATAATTACTATTAAACGTCGCGCTAGTATGCGTGTACAAATAAAACCGTGAGTTTATTTTATATGAGAAAGTGATGTGGCACACTGTGAAGGTTCCAGCAATATTTTCCCGGTGAAATGCAAATAAAGGTAAGACTCCAGCAGCAGCAAAAAACAAGCGTGCTGATTATTGACTAGCGTTTTTGAACAATTTGATTTTTAGAATTCGGTTTTCCTGGTTGTAGGAGGCGCCTCCGACCTCTATGGACGAGCTACAGTAGAAAAGCTGCTCAAAGAGGGAGGTCGAGTGATTATATGCGACCTTCCCACCAAAGACTTGCATATTTATGGGGACGACAAAGCCATATTTTTGCCCATTAATGTATCCGCAATTAATTCAATGGTGGTCAAATTTTTCCAAGTCCTGCTTGTAGGTCAGCAGTGATGTGGATATAAAAACCTTAGTCTCCGTAGTGGATGAAAAATATGGTCGACTGGATGGCGTGGTGAACTGTACCGACCAATCCAGCTCAACGCCTGTATATGATTTTAAGGAAAAAGAACCGCAAAAGCTTCAGGAGTTTGCTGACATTCTATACGTAAAAAACTTCAAGTGCTAGAAAACAGCTTCCTCAAATAATTCCTTGCAGGAAAATATTTTAGGTCCATTCAACATCATTCGATTCACCATCCCTCTGCTGGCCAGGAATGTTCCGAAAAAAGGCAGCGGCCGCGGCATTATTATCAACATGTCCAATGCTGCAGCATTCGAGTCCAGTGATAAATCCTGCGCTTATGCAGCAAGTAAAGCTGCAGTCGTAAGAATGACCGAAGCTTTGAACTTTGAATTGCAAGGAATCCAGGTGCGATGCGTATCGATTGTAACAGGTAACGGTATTTTCGAGTATTGGGAACTTTGCAAAGTGAAGCTTCCAGATGCGCTGAACGGTTCCGAAGCGAATTCAGTCAGCAGTTTTTTCGATAATATCAATGGAAGCTTGGAGGAAACGGAAGGACCGCGCAAATTTGCCGAGTTAGTGAAGACTGTTGTTGAAACCTCGACAATGAATGCGTCAATGATCAGGCTGGACAGTGTGCCAGGAACGTGACTATTTAGTCTTCTGGTTCTGGAGAAAAATCTGCATGTAATTGACTGTTTAATTGGATTTGAATAAAATGGAAATTGCCAAAATAATCAACTGCTTGGTGTGTCTGCGTTAGCTGAAGTTTTGTTAGCAGTCCTTTATTATTATTGTTTGGGTTTAATGGACGTTTGTTAAAAAATAGAAGAGTAGTAAGACCAGCAGTGGAAAAAACAGCAAAGCATTTAAATAACGTTTTTGTGAAAGAAAAATTTAGGAAAGTTTTTAATAAATCCATGAGAATTTGACATAAAGTATTTATGCGAACCTTTCATTGCTCACCGAACGTTCTGAGCCTACAGGTCTTCGATTCAAAATGCCTGCGATACTTTTCATTTATAAATATTAGCACGTATAGAACTTGCTAATCGTGCAACCAAAATATCTAATTATAATATAAAACAAAAAAATCAGTTGAGTTGAGTCCAGTATCACCTATTTGTTTGTCAGACCATTGTATCCCTGAGACCATTTCTCCTTCGCATTATTTTGCCTCCTAATCTTGCATTGAATAGAAAATTAGCAGATCTTTTCTAGTTGAAAAAGATCCAATTAATCTGCTTCTTTTTTTCTAGGTTTCTTTTCTGTTAGTAGTAGGGACTGTCGATACTGATCTTCCTGAAAAACTTTCCTTTCCCTCATCTTCTTGGCATATTTTATTAACACGGTTTGCAGTGAGTGTTCATATATTACACAGAGTCCGTTGCAAAACATTGCCATAATCCCGTTATTAAAAATAAAATCGAAATCATCCGTTTCATAACAAAGAACTGATTAGTACCCAAATAGCATATTAATATGGCCAAATCTCGGACTGATTTTTTTCCCAAATAATAATCCGCAGTCACGACATGACCCACAATTGCAGATGGTTATTTGAATATGTGATTGTTTTTGGCATCAGCAACAACTCGCCGAGTGTTTGCGTGTTGAATATAAGCATTATACCACTGTGCTCGTCCGCATTATTTGAATATAAATGGTAAACGATTGATATAAAGTGCCCTGGCGTTGATGGGCATTTTATGCAAATCTAACATTTAAAATATAACAATGTAGATTTTTTCAATTTCATCATCTTCGAACGTTCGTAGTGAAACGTAATAATGAATAAATTAATAAATACATCTTCGTCCCGGGGATTCTGTTTAGTCTGAAGGGCAACTAAACGGCTAATTCCTAGACTCCAAAGATTCGCAAATTAAGGAAAGTTATGATGGACAAAGTCGCATAAACAGTCCGCATATATGGACATTTTGCTATGCACGTCTCCGTCGAAATAACACTATATTAAAGGTTTTATCTAACACGACCAAGTGCTAAAAGCTAGCCATTGCACATACTTTAAAATTTTCCGTTATCAAGATTTTCATTTCGGAGTCATTCTCTGAAAATATTCGCCATAGAACTTCTGGGCTACTTTACATTTTGCTCATACTTACAACTCTCGATTAACCATCCTCAAATTTCAGTTAAATAAGTTTTTGTGCCCAACTAAAATTGACTTGATCGCCCATCTTGCCATTGGTAAAAATGTTGATTTTAGTTTCTCCTCTCGATCTTATTGCCGATTTTTTTTGTGGTAATCCTTGCTGATGGCTTGTTAACGATGAAAGCGTTTAGACGATTAAATGTGCTCACACTTTACCACTTTCATCAAATTAAGTTGTTAAAACAAGGCGGAAGACGTTCAGAAACAGATCATATTTACGAAAAATTTAACATCAATTTATTCGATTTTGATGATTTAATAAAATATGCTTTAATTGCCTGATTTATCAATTTTGGCCCGTTTTTAATTAATTATATCAGCAGTTAAAACTAATTAAGAAAGTTTACGATGACGAAGGCCATAAAAACTAAATAGTTTGATAACTGGATACTAGAAATTTCATACTAAGGTCAAATAATTTTTAAATATGAAATAAAAACAGCTGGGTTTTTGTGGTCATTGCTTGAAATGGAAATTGGTGAGTTTTTCGAATTTTTAGACTGGCATGGAAAAGACTTTCAACTTTCCCACCACTGTCCCAGTCAAAAGCATAATATTATAAAAAGCTGCTTCTGAAGCCAAATGAATCTGGGAACGCAAGAAAAAGCTTGTCTTGCGGTCCGATTCTGCCAAAAAGAATATTTCCATTAAGGAAAACTTTTCAGAAGGATTTAGCCAAAGCGAAATAACACTAAACGTTAACTTAAGAGTGAAGGACACAGCCGGAAAAAAATTCAGAAAAACTAGAATAATTTTGCAAACTATTAAATTTTCTAAGTAAACGAGTGAGTCTAATTGCGTCAGATTGAGGATTTTTGAGGACAACGACTTACACAAGGTGTTTCTAAAATAAGTAAATGTCCAGTGGACAAACAAGGCAAATAGTGAAGATCTGAGTGAAATAAACAAACAAAAAATAAACGTTACGCAGGCAAATTTGTCTGAACTTTGGAACTGGATAAATTCTTAGAGTGCTTAGAGCGATTTCGCTTCGGTTCGAAGCGTTTTTGATTCCCATTTTTTTTTGTGGGCCAACGTTTTGGTAAAAATTGGGCATCTTAGAGCAATTTTCTATGGGCAAATGAAAAATGTAAAATTGCGGAAAATTTGGCATTCTTGTAGTTGGACGTTTTTTGGGTTTCAACACCGAAAATGTAAAGATAAACCAAATGGTGCAAACTGGTTTTACAATTTTTATGCCATTATTTCTATTTATAGAGTGGTCTAAAATATCAACTTTCTGGTTTTGCAGCGATAACTTTTCTGCTGTTGCTGCGATTTTCATGATCTAGAGCTGATGTTGAAGCTTAAAATTCATAGGCAATTCAACAAAAATTTGGCATACATAGTTAAATGAAAAATTACCCGAATAAGAAATGTTCCTGAAATTTGTGATTCTGACATATGAACTTTCAACTCAAGTGAACACTCACTTCGTTTTCAAATATTTCATTGATTCATGCCACTCAAAATATCGATTCCTTTTTATGAGATATGAAGTTTATAACGGTGCTAAAACGGAAACTAATAGAACAAAAATTGCATTAAATAACGCTCCAAACAGAAATCTCGACCGCAGCAGTCAGAATTTATCTGCTTCCAAAGCAAGTCCAATTTTGTCAGTCTAACGTTGACTTTGTTGAGCAGTTTATAGGCCTCCAGAATGAGGTAGAACTCATCAAAAATGTGGCTCAAAAGTTGACTACAAGCTTTTCAACATCTTTTATAACGTGCATGTCTGAAAATCAAATAATCTTAAGTAATCATTATATATTTCCATTTGTAAAGTCGCTTGACCCTTGCTACTGGAATTCAGTTTAACCAGCCAAATCGTTTTAGAATGAAGAGGAAATTGCTACTTTTGTTGGAAATCGCCTGTACCTTTTTTTTGGACTAATTCTGATACTCTAATATATAGACTAATACTGATACGAAATTTAGCAAAAGATCCATGACATGGGAAGGCAATCTTTGAGAGCTGAGGCCGATTTTGTAGTAAGATTTTTTCATAAGTTGCTTCGTCCTTCGTGAAATTGGCAAAATATTTCAGGCACTGCTTATGAAATCTTGAATATTCTATAGGTATATAAAACAAATAAAATAACAGTTTGTTCGTGTTGTCTTAATGAAAAAAGCTTTGTTTTTGTCGGAAATTGTTGTGAAATTGTATAGAAATTTGAGATAAGTATATGCTTTTCTCTGAAACAAGTCTAACTTCATTTAGAGAAATCGTAGAGAATCAAATTTTACCCACTCAAGTAACAAATCATGGCAACATTGAACCATATTCTAAAACGAAAATGTCCGATATCTGGACAATCCGACTTTCATTGAAGAAAATAGCCGTAAAATCGACTTGGACATACTGGCCATTTCCCATATAGAAAGGCTTTCAGAGACTCCAATTACAGGCATACAGTTAATATTCTTCGCAGCGAAATTTACTCTTTCAACATGAAAAACTTTCTGATGAAGTCTTTTCTTCTGAAGTTCACATCTACTGAGTACCCTGCATATGCTTTTGATCTCTTCGCTGAGATAAAACTGTCATCAATGTGGTTATAAGAAAGACATTTTGAAAGAGTTTGGTACAACCAAATTGCATTGAGTTGGCTACAATCAAGCATATTTTGAAAACATTTTTGGCCGTTCTCGAGTGCGTTAAACCGATTTTCCGAGAACGTCCTACGCCTCTATTTATGTCCGTGGCGGTCGGTGTTAATTGGGCCTATTCTGCAATTTTCAGCGCCTTCGATAGCATAAAATAGTCCGTAATCATATGTAAATTGATACCCGCCGGTCGCTGTTTAACAAAGGGTGCACAACTGCACCGATCGTGCTCTCGCTCGATCTACAAATTATAACATGTTCGTACATGATCTTATGGCTTTGAGAACCGGCACACCGCAAAGTAAGATCTTAACCTGGTTGAGGCGGGGCTCCAGAATGCACTTGGGAAGAACAGAAGAGTATTTTTGTTTGAATTTTAAAATCAGGTTCACATAGAACGAAGATTGTTTATAAATAGTGCCACACCTATTCGAGCCAAAGGTTTTAGTGTGGTTTTCACCACACACCGGCTTTCCGAGAAATAATTACAAGCCCAAACCAGCCACTGAAACTCGGTTAAATCTTCTTTGAGCCAAATAAGGCCTTCGACTCGGTCTCGTTGCCAATGTATGTTTTTGTCACATAATCTCAGTAGGCTGACAAATGCTGAAATCCCTATTGGATTTGCCTTAGACATGTTTTATTTAATTAATGAAGTACCTGGTCGCGGCGGTACCCAGTCGTCACGTGTAATCTTTGATATTTAAATGGGTGCCGCGGGCACAAAGCGCGCCTGCTTCGACTGGAATTTTTATGTACGTCCTGGGGACTGCAAATCTCCCTAATTACTGCACTTTTGTTACGAACACACACACTGGTAAGCCACATGATTTATATCGTTTGCATTTCAACACTCGTTTCCTACAAATTACTCTCTTCCTTGCTTCTGTTGCACTAACATTATATCGGCGAACATTTCAGCTCTCTTCTATCACTTCGGGTGCCTAAGTA